ACTTTATCAAAGGCTGCAATCGAATTTCTTTCGTTTTGCTAAACTACCCCGAAAATAAGCAACACTATAACAAAAAAGTGTTGCTTATTTTCGGAAGAATGCGGTAACTATATTTATTATAAACGCCTACAATTATAATTATGTTTAACTTCTTGTTCGCTTAGTAAAAATTATAAGCCAATCGAATTTTAAAGATATGAAATAATTCTATATAAAGTCCAAAGCGAATACTAGAATTAGTCTAGACTTTCGATTAAATTGATTCATTTCACATCAAAGAGATTGGATCGAAGCAAATCCTAATTCTAATCTACTCAATTCAATTCGATAATTATATTATAAATACTAAGTATTGAAAGAAATATTTTCTTCAGATCGCTTCAAATTTGTATATTTATTTCATATAACAAAGTATACGTATATATATTGATATGTATTCACAAGACTCAAGTAATTAAATATTCCTTTGAACTTTGAATAAACTAATAATTTACAATGATAGATCTATATATGCGACAAATATATTCTATGTCTGATCATAATCTTCAACAATCTTATTATTACACAGATGATAACTTTCAGTATTTACATGGTAAAATATGTTGAAAATTTGCATTAGTCTTTCTAATTTTCAACAAGGTGGTAACTTCGTTATATTAATTTTTTTTCGAATAAAAGCTGCGGAATGGCATCCAACCTTTTCTTCTTTTTTACCGCCTTCGACAGCTACTGATGTTTTTGTGCCAGTAAATTTAATCGATGAAAGCTATATATTCATCAAGGTAATAAATATTCTCAAAATATTACATTATTTTTTTTTAATTTTTTAAAAAGAAAGAATAATCGTTATAATGACATTTTCAATTTCTCCAAATTATTAATAACAACGGGACTGCATCAAATTTTCCTTATTTTTACCGCTTTCAGCAGCTGCTGGACCCTCTCAAATTATTGTGCCAGCAAATGTCAACAATGGAAGCAATATTCAAGGTAATAAATATGCTCAAACTTTATACTATTGTTTCTAATTTACAACAAGATATATTGATCGTTATATTATTTTTTCATTTGCTTCAAACTAATAATAGCTGCGGAACTGCATCAAAATTTTCCTTCTTTTTTATTGCCTTCGACAGCTACTGGATCCTATAATCTTACTGTGTCAGACATGTCTGATAATTATAGAAGCAATATTCAAGGTAATAATTATTCTAAACCTTACATGTAAATCAATCTAGTAATGATATATCTAACTGACCTACCTTATACTTCTCATCTCATTCGGACGTCAACTATGTTGCATTTACAGCTTCCAGCAGTATGTCTGATTATCAAAAAAATCAAGGTAAAAATGTTTTTTATACATAATATGAAACTTTTATCATTTTAAAATTTCTTATTCATACCTGAGATGATGAATTTTTATCTTTTGGTACAAAATATATTAATAACAAATTAACGTTATTTTTCTTTATTAGGTTTTGGCGCTACTACCGAACCTTATAATAATGAAAGTTCCCAAACTGGTAAAAGTTGTGAAGAAGCTCAATTAAAAAATAAAAATAAAAAAATTCCATGTAAATGGAAAGATGAACCGACTGTTATGTTGCTTAAATATTTGAAAAAATATAAGGTATGTATTCTTGAGCTAAAAAAAACGTGGTTCTACAGCAGGAAAAGTCGGAATGCCACTTTGGAAAGGTGCCTCCATTATGCTACGCAAAAATAACTACAACAATTATTCTGAGGAACAGTGCGCAAATAGGTGGAAAAATATTAAACAGAATCATGAGTTAAATTTATTTCTTTTAATAATAAATTTTGCCAAAGTATTTTTATAAATTAAAATTTTAATTTAGAATCGGCATAAGAAGTATCAGTTATATGTTGATGAAATTCTTGGGTCAATATTATCACCAAAGAATTTACATTTATAATTAGAAATATAATATCGTAATATCTTAAGTTAGTTATAAATTTTAAGAGACGTCAGATAAAAAAAATATGCTATTATTCTTAATTAATAATTTTAAATTAAGATAAAAAGTATGTTAATATGCCATTATTTTTTAGTTAATTAATATAAGATAAAAAGTATGTTAGTATGTTATGAATTAAGGATTGTAAAATTCACACACATTATGTTTTCAAAATTAAGTTTTAAAAAAAAAGATTAAATTTTATTCAAATTATGCACTAGTTTCATAATTCTATAAATATTGTTTTAAGATAAAATATTTTGAATCCTTCATACTCTGTTTCTTCACATTTATACATTAAGCTTGTCAAAAAATAATTTCGAATTTTGTCACCAATGAAATGTATTTTCAATGTTTTTGGTAAAACTCTCGATTTCTCACGGGACTAATTGTCCTCCGGCAAAATGGACACTTTTCAAGATGTCCTCTAGTCAATTTGTTCTTATAAAAAGATGCTTTTTGACTTAATTATAAGAGCAATGCATTGTGCTTTTATGTTAGTTTTTGACTAGCCGCAGTTATTTCGCAAATACATTTATCGAATAAATATGACTCTAGTGTAGACGTTGAGTCATTACTTGATTATTGATTTTATTAAATAAATTTCGGTACATACGAGAAAATTTTTTGTTATATTAAGGAGATAAATGTTAACCAATCAAATTTGTTGCATTAGCTCAAACAATTATTGTTGATAATTAAAAAAAAAATTAACATTATATGTTACACCTGATCCTATGAATATCAACCAAAATAACAAGTGATTGATTTTTCAACGTATATTAATTATAATTGTATTTGAACGTCTTAATCTTTAAAGAGAAGGAATATCTATTCAAAAAGCATGTGAAATGTTATTACAATCTTTTGCAGGAATCGCTTAATCCCGTAGTGGCTGAGATATGTGAAATATAGATCCTCGGACAGGAAGGTGGCTCTATAAAAAAAAAGTTGATCCATGTTTTGTTTTCCATGTTTTTTTCGTTAAGTGCTCATTCTCACACGTAAACTGCGAAAAAATAATGTAAATATTTGGACGAAATTTTTTTATAGGGTGGCTTGTCTTATAATTTATTTACCCTCCTGAGAAGTACATATATCAATCGCAGCTCATTATGGATGAACAAAGCAACTAAATTAAGTAATTTGATAGAATATCAAATGTATTATCAGGTTCAATCAATATTTTCATGCTTTAGTAATTTTTTTTTCCCCAACATATACATGAAATTAAGATCCTTTTTAAAGTATGGATAAATACATAGTTTTGACAATAAAAATATATGTAAATTTACAAGTGAAAAAGAATTTCTTAGGTTACAAAGGGATTTTTAGATAGTTTTTATGTAAAATTCAAAAATCATTTTTTTATAATAAAATAAGATTTTTATTTTTATTTTAATAAAAGATTAGTCTTTAATTTTCTTTCTATTTCATACATTCTAATGTTATTTTAAAATACTAATATTTATTCAATATTTTCATTAGTAGGAGAATTTGGTGCTTTCAACTTTGAAGTATTTTTTTTTATATTATGATGCTTATGACGCTTATGACGTGCGATCTTTTCTTTTTTTTGTTGATAGCATACTTTTTATGATTAGTGAACTACCTTCTAAAGTTAAGTAAGATTGTTTAATAATTTTAGAGTTGATTATTTTTTACATTTAAAAAAATATAAATGAAATTCTAATTAAAATATTTCTACTATACTATCCAAATAAAAAAAAATATATTGGAGTTTCAAAAATCCAAGTAAAAATAAGTAACCTGTAATATCAATTCAATGTATTATAATACAGTATATTCAAAATAAAATATAAAAAAAATATAAAAGAAAAAAATATATATATAGGAGGCGGTCAGTAGAAAAGAGGGAAATCTAAAATTTTATTGATTTTTATTATTAAGCTAAATTTTTGCACATGACCGAGATCAGCTAAGTGGTCCAATAATATGATTTCCTCCGTTTTTACCGACCACCTCCAATATATTAAAAAAAAATATTTTTAAGGTAATTAGAAACACCAAGTTCGATCGATAAGCCATGGAATTGGATGAAAAGATAAGGTTCTGATCCAAATTTTCTAAATCATCGTCCAGCAGAAGCTTCCAGGAATCCGATTACTCTCTAACATTCTATATTTGTAACCTTGCTCCAAGACTGCGAAGATACAATTCCAAAAGAAGTCAATTACATATTTGTACTAGAATTAGTTAACGTTATGTCGATTATATTCGAAAACGTAAATGCAAGAACAAATAAGTTTAAGAGATTATACAAAAAGTATGGATGGTTCTACCTTTAGCAAAGGGGACATATATATGATACTTAATTTAGAAATGAAACCAGAAATTGGTGTAGGAAAATGCTGTTCCTATAATCAAGGTAATGCATACTATGCGAAATACCTAACAGCAGTGATGTACTCTTGGAAGATTGGAAGCATTATTGGAGGCACCTTTGAAAGGTTTGGAAGCATAATTTTCTAATAAAATCATTTAGCTTGGAATATTCCAATCAAAATTTTATATCATTGGAAGTATAAAGTGCATATAATGCATATCACTGCCTAACAGTACTTCTAATATTGATTGATAATATCTACAGCTTGATTACCATGTATGTTTTTTATTGTTCCTCATAGTTAGAATGGAAACTTTATTAAAATTTTGTTATTTTTGATTGGTTAAGAATTTTTTTTCATTTCGTAGGACCACACATTGGGTTTCTGGCGTAATTTACGGTGAAAGGGTCTTATGTACCTCTCTGGTACCAATACTCCCGCTATTTTATCTCCTACATTACAGATACTCTATGGAACGCTTAGCTCGAATGTTTAGTGTCTTCAAAAAGGCATTATATTCATTGGATGTATACTATACAAATCTTCATCAAGTTCATTCTCTGTAATTGAATTTCTTTCCGAATATTATATCTTTCAACGATCCAAATGTAAAAGAAGTTTAATTTAAATGCTTACAACAACTTTACGAAAACAAATTACTTTTTCTTGTTGAATGAAATAACGATAATGACAATAATAGAGGTTGGAACCGGCCCTAAAATTCTTAACTGGTTAAATTTAACACAGACCATCAATATTAATTTATCAAAACTAGCGAAATTTTGCGAAATTTTGTAATCACAAAAAATTTTAATTTTGCCCGAAAATTAAATTTTGGCCAACATCTTAACCGGTTAATTAACCGGTTCCAACCTAATGCAATAACACCCTCCTTCCACAAAGACTTCTTGTGAAATTCGTATGACAAAACGAAAGAAACGACATCAAGCTTGTGCTGATTTGGGCATCGCGCCTAAACTTTTCGGATATGAGCATGTTATAGAAGGAGATTATAGTGGAATTTATGGAAGATGATTATGAAATATTAATTTCGCATGAACTTGTCGCTGTCAAAAAAGTAGTTACAAAGATGTATGATGCATGCTTTATGCATGGTGACTTAAGATTTTCGAATATTTTATGTAGGAAGAAAACAGAGATACCGATAAAAGCATCCAAGTAGATATTTGGGCTGGTAGAATTCAACAAGATACAACCATTTGTCCGTCAAATCTTAATCCTGAATTTATGAGGTACCAAGATGCTTGTTCTGGGCACAAGATTCGGCGAGAAACGATATCTTTATGATGGATCTTTTAATTAAAATAGTATGGGAGGTTCGCTAGGAAATGGGGCTCTGAAAATTTTATTAAAAAATTCTCAAAGCCCCATTTCCTAGCGAACCTCCCATACTATTGTTTCATTGGATTTTTTCCGATAATTTATTTTTACGAAAAAATTAATAAAAAAAAAAAATTCAATAATTTTTATTTTGACAATTTAGGTAAATATATGATAGCGATAATTAAATGAAACAAATTACAATATTTGTTAAATCGAAAACAATCCTTACGTTGTTAGTGATAGTCTAGTTATGACGCATTAGTACTGCGCCAATTACAATTAGCGAATGATGATCCCGTCG